TAAGGAACGAATAAGGTGAATTTTGCAGGTAGGAGCTTTGGTATAGGGAGATTTTTTGCTCTCTACGGATAGGCAATATAAAAATTTGGATAAAAAATTATTCCAGTATATGAAGTGTACTTCTTTGAAGAAATATCTCATTCCGCATCCAAAGTATAATCTTTAGTATCTTGCTGTCACTTCAAAAAAGCCTGTACATCTTCTAACATTTTCCTACTGGCATTTTCAATCCGCTCCCTATTATAGGGTATTTTTAATAATTTACGAAGATCTTTGAGAGATAATTTTCTGTAATCGTCAACTAATATAACAGGCCCTCGAATTGGTGGTAAATCATCCCGTCCCATTCGTTAATATATAAGACGAGTCGCTAATGGATTCTGAGATAAAGATTTAGCATAAGCGTCATCATCATATAATATAGCAAGATCATAATTGTCCAAGTCGCAATGGTAATATGCCAACTATTGGTACATTCTAGTAGGCAACAGATTTCTCCATTAGTGGTATTAATTCTTTTCACTTCTGGAGGACCACTTACAGGAATATATATTCCTTGATATATTGTCATGATAAATCGATTCAATAAATTTTAAGTAATATATTATCCCAACTTTAATTTTAAATATGAAAGTGTATATAAAATAATAGTACAGGTGAAATGCCTTGTAATTGGTTATTAGTCGGCGAAACCCATTTATGTAAAATTCCATCGAGAGGGCGGTATTGCGCTTCCCATGCATTCAAAATTTGAAATGGCGTAATAATCCCAGAACCGTGTAAAGGATGTGGTCGAGGGACTAAATCGAGCGTCCGGCTTTGTGTCCCATACGGACAAGGTAAGGAAAGAGCATACAGATATTATAAACACAAATGTGAGGAAAAAACCTGCCTTCTCAGTCTATAACCTTGAAGCCAGAAAATAATTGTCTATCTATTTTTGTGGATATATAGTTACTGTACAACTGTCTTTAACAAACTGACCATGAACGTAGTGAATTGTCGGGGATAAGTAATATCATTTATTTTTCATATATAATCTGAGTCCTTTAGAAATAATCAATTAAA